CCATTTTTTTTTCAAGGGTGAGTGATCAAAATACTTCCAGTCTCTAAAAACATCTTTTATTTAACCACAAAAATACAGACCAAGAGGCCATGAGAAAGAATGGTGCTCTTGAATTACTACTACAATACTTCTCTTAATCAACACTGACCCAGAATAGCATTAGAAACCACTGTCAGGATAAGAGAAAAGTGACAGAAAGACCTGAAGCACAAAACTGTCCATTGAAATTTTATAAATTTTACCTCCAGCTCTGCATTCACACAGAAGCCCATACCCTGTGGACTTATCACTAAACAGTATGAAATGCAATACTAATACAAGTTCCAAATTGTACTTCAAGAGGGCAAACCCTATACCGTACATATTCTGCTGTACATGAATAGTGACAAATTCCTTATCTGGGGCAGCTTGAAAAATCAGCTGAACTCTTCTGAAAGACCACCTAATGCACTTTAAAATGCCACAATACTTGTATTTAAAATCAAAAGTAAATGCCGTGCATATACAAGAACAATGCAAATGCAAGTTTTGGGGACAGAGATTAATCCTTTAAAAATTTCATTGACAGGGACAGTCTGTACCTGCTTGTGTAGGTAGAATAACAAGTCACATAGTTTTCAATTAACTGTACATTTCATATTCTCTTTTGTTAAAGAGGTCATGGATGGCAGCAGAGAGGAAAACTGCTGGCTGTGTTTCAGGTAAGAGACAGATGAAGCTGGCTCGTTCCCCAAGATCAAATGGGGAATCTCGGTTTGGAAAGCCTTCTCACATGCAGAATGGGGAGAGGGACTAGTAAAAAGGGAGGCTGCTGCACCAGTACTGGCTGGGAGACTCTAGGGAGGAAAAGAGAGTTTGTCTAAAGTAGGACACACATCTACAGTGCAGGCTCAGATGATCCACAGAAAGTTTCCTAGAAGCCTAGAGGACTGTGTGGAAGGTGTTTGAATGAGAAAGCCGCTGAAGGTTGCTGGAGCAGACTGCAAGGAAACAATGCATCCTGCAAAAATGCTGTTTACAGGAGACGGATTTATTCTGAAGCCTTTCTGCTCCGCCCTGATCCAAGTTTCATCCTTTTAAAGAAAAAAACCTTATTCTAAGTTAGCAATTTTTTGACATCATTCCAACAAAGTGTGCCTTTAGAGAATAAAAGTGTGTAGATGCGCTCACTGTAGGGAAGATGGTGGAACAGCTCCGGCACGAGGCACTGGCCTGACTGGCATCCTGTCGTGGCACTGCCAGAAGCAGCAGGTCTGCAGGGAATCCTCAAGTTAAAAATGACATTCCTGGGAGAGGGAGAATAATGCCATATCCATAAATTAAGGCACCTATATAGTGCTGAGGGACACAGAAGGGTGGGTTCGTTATTCTACTTCCCCCTCCTTCCCCTTTTTTTGAGAGAGACGGGGAAAGATAAAGGAAGAAGGAAGGAACATGGGGAAGACACAACTGCACAGAGGTCATCAACAAAGCTCTTGGAGGACCTGTGGGACAAAAGTGATTTTCTTCTAAGTGAATGATCAAAAGCAAAAAAATGTGATTTTTGGCCAACTCAGAGGCATCTACTGGAGCTAGGGGGAGAAGCTAATGGCCCCGTGGAGAAGCTTATGCTTTGAGGAAGGAAAAAAAGCCTTCCAAAATGCTTATAGAGAACGCAAAAAGAAGCAAGAAGATGCTGGGGTACCAGAGGGACACCGAGGTGCTGTGCAGCCTAGACTGCTGAAACCAAAGAAGAACAAAACAGGCAATATCAGCAGTGGGTTTTTTCAAGACCCACAGCACCACTTCCCTCAGCTGTGGCACTGCTGAGAGAGAGAAAAGGCTGATAAACCTTCCCATGGGGTGCACTCTTGGGAAGCAACATAGAGTGGGTACTATTTCATGCAGACGAGGGTCCTGAAAGGCACATGGAAAATGAATGGGATCTGACCATGACCAGGAACACACCTGGGCAGTATGTCCAAGGAGGGAAAACCGGATGCTGGATTACCTAGTGCCAGTACTAAGCAGGCCAGGTTTACCAAGTGTTTGTCTGAGTGCAGTTTAATTTTGGGAAGGAGAAAGATGAATATGCCCACTGTCTCAGCCTAGAGACACATGGCCCAATGCAAAAGTGATGGGGGAGAAAAAAGAAGGTCCTATTGAGGACACAGAGCATGCCTGAAATGAAACCCAGGAGGAAGACCTCAATATAAACTAAGAAAATGCTTTTATGGGGATGGCTCAGCTAAATTATAAGAGAAGCCTGGCACCAACCTTTAGCAATATAACAACCCACTTGATAGATCTGTGTGAAAACCAAAACAGATTGGTCAATTCAATGAAGTCTAGAAAGAAACTTCTGGTCATTTAAGTGTCTTTTTGTTTGTTTTGTAGTTTGGTATAGGTGAGTCTGGATTTTAACCAGTTTTCTGATATATTTGCCAGATGCCTCAACACTGATTTATGGGCTGCTTGGCAGCAGCAGAAAGAGGTATTTCATTCTCTGGCACATTTCAGTAAAAATTTGTCAGCTGGGAATGGAACCACAGCATCACTGAGAAGAAAGCTTTATAGATACATTAAAAACCAAACAACTCGATTCTACTTAGATAATTTTACTATACATACAGCTGGAAAATTCACCTTTATAAAGTTTATCTTAAGGGGGAAATTCCAGTTCGTGAGGTAGGGCTTGTCACCGCAAGAATATGATGCACAAACAAAAGCTGCAAAGAGGAAAGATAAACAGGATGTTGATTCTGCTTAGGCAGAAAGATGCTTGAGCAACTAACCTCAAGAAGATCCTTTTGAGTCCTCCTTTCCATAACAACAGCTAAGGCATCTCAGAACACGTGGAACTGTAATATTGACAAAAATGGACTGCCTACGTTAGTTGAAATCCTCGACAATTGCAGGTGTTCAGCATTTCTGAAAATCAGCTCTATGATATGCCCTATTTGCTAAAAAATATTCAGGAACAAGAGAAATAATGACCGTTATTACTGTTTCTTTGAAGTTCAATGATGAAAGCCAAAGAAAGAACATATAACATCTGAAATGGTTCAGGAATTACAGTCATAACTTCCCTGTCATATTGGCATGTTTGGAGACATTTTTTAAACTGCAGTGAATTTGTATTGCAGTTATAAAGTATAATTCCCCAGAATCACCCCACGAATAACTTAAATCTGAGCAGCACTGCATTACAGGTTGGCTACATAAATAAATTTACTAGGTACTTATTTTCAACAGACTTTTTCCAACTTTTTAAAATTCATATTTGTTTATATCACATGTTCTCCAAGAATTGCATAAAATATTAAAATGTGGACATTGTGCAAGCTTATTATCCGTAATTTACTGAATATTTTGAACGGCATATCGTGTTAAGACAGCTCCACTTTCACATATTTAGCCTTAATTTCCTAAATGAAATTTGCATATTTGGGAAGGAAATAAAACTTTCAATTAAAAAATAATAATCAAGCACAGAAAAGGTAACCATATATAGCCTAATTCATGGCATTATAAACCATGTTTATACTCAGTAAATTCAACTGTAAAGAGAATTTGTGATGTCACTAAGTAGGGATAAGATAATATAGAAGAAAACTCAGCATGAATACTGTTTGTGAACCCTGTAGACAAGTCCCACAAATAAAGGAATAAGATGTTGAATAATAGAGACTATGACATAGTGTAGACTGAATGTGGAGGTGGATCATGAGAGAAAAAAAAAAAGGTCTGTTATTAATCCAGATTAGATAGCCTGATATACTTCCTTCAGCAGTAATTTCTGCTTTAAAATTCTTAGAAAACAACAAAAAACCACTAAGAACATATATGCAGCATCCTGCTTCCTGAAAGCTGAACACAATACATAGAACAAATCTAATTTCATGACAATTTTGTCAGCTACAACACAAGCAAAAGCTGAACAAGCAGGCTGGTTTTGCAGGTAAAGCATCAGTCTTGAGTTCAATCCCTGGGCAATCACAAAAGGTTTACACTATTCACCAACCTCTACCTCCATTTGCTGTATAACATTTTGTCAGTGAAGTCTCTCTAGTTTGTACAATATGTGAGGGGAGTGATTGCCTTGTTTTAACAACGTGCAGAGCCCCGCTGTAATGAAGCACTAACCCTGAGATAGCACTGGATACAAATAATAAAACGTTATGTCCAAGCATCTATTTGTGGAATTCTGTAATTAAAAGCAGAGGAGAAGTAGTATGCTGTAATGATAAAAAATTAATGAGTTCGCAAAAATGAATAAAAAATACACTCTTAACGTACAGAAGAAGCAGAAATAATTTTGTCATGACTTTTGAAATAGTTCAAAACCAAGGAAGTGATTATTTTTCAAAGACAGAAAGTTCAACAATCCACAGTGCTTGGACAAATTTCAGCTAAAAAACGCCACCAAAAACATAAACAAAATTAAAAAAAACCCAAGCCCCAAGATGTTTGCTTACCATACCATCAGAATTCAGGGGCAACAATGATTTATGTAAATTATTGTCCTCCTCCTTAACTGCATATGTGTTTGTGAATCAAGCATCTCCCAGTTCTCTTGCTGGAGCTACTAATCTGCCCAGTAAATTCCTCGAACCATCTTAAAATCTTTAAGATTTGTCGCTTCATGACCCCCAAATTACTTGTAATAGATAATCTGAGGATCAGGAGTGGTTGCTCTGCTTAGATCCTCGATGTGGAAGATGCAAGTGCTACTGCCAGCCTAGGAATGAAGTGCTAAAGCAGAACAAAGCCATTGCTTTTCTTCTGCAGATTACAGTATGACAGATCATGAAATACTGCATGATGTTTAATTAATTTAACAATTCCTTGCAATACAGCACTAAGCTGTCACATAAAATGTGAATACGACACATTAGAGAAAGAATTAAAGAAATTGTGCTAGAAATGTGAGAATAATTTTCATTGTGCTTATTCTGCTGCAAACTGGAAAAAAAAACCCCAAACCCACAAAATATATAGATTGTTTGGAAAGAACATACCTATTAACTCCTTATTTCTGACATCTAAGGCCATGTTTCGTAAAGCTGTAGCGACTGCACATACCACCCGGTCATTGTCTATTCGAAGCAGTTCCACCAGGATTGGCAATCCTTTTTCTTTGCGGACAGCAGCACGGATATACACTGACCACTGTAAAGACACATGGGAGAGTGTGAAGATGAAAGTGAGAAATTCACTACAGAAAGCAAGGCATCTCAGGTTGTAACAGATATAGGGTAAGGGGTAACAGAAGCATGTTGATGCAAACTCGAAAGAGGAAATAATTGCACTTATGATGCTAGGCAACCACTTGATTTGGAAATCTGCACTAATTTTTTATGGTGGCAGAGAAATTAAATGATGAATTGACTTTACTCGTAGCACACCTGGTTACATTTTCACAGCCCAAGTCTGCAGACCATTTGCTTTGCATCAGCATTTTCTATGTAACATCTAATGATGCTTGTTCACTGCTAAAACAACAAAATTTATATTACAAAACATATATTAAAAAAACATGTTCAAGAGGTCTGAGTATTTCTTTGTTATTACTGTAAGAACTATTTAGTCTAAAAACATGAAAATACTGTTATAATTTCTCTTGTGATCGTCGACTTGTTCAGAAGGAAAAATGAGGACAACTATATGCCTGGTTTTGCCACCAGTAGTGGTCTTAACCGGAAGACTATTGCTCATCGAGGAGTTCGAGATTCACATAAGAGTTGACCTGAGGCAGGCACAGGCCTGTGCTGTGCTGTGCCGCGCTGCATGTACCACGTGGCTGCAGGATAAACCCAGCTGCTGATTGTATTGGAGAAGCCTGTAGGCATCTCCCACTTGGCAGCTGGTCATGACACCACTGGCATGCCTTTGTCTTTATCTCAAAGTGAAGCAGCGTGTTCTCATCTGAACATCCTTTTGGTTTGACAGCAGAAATGATGAATGGATTTGTTTACTTCTAAGAAAATCCTCTAAGAGCTCTAAAGACTATCATGCTACTGAACTTCTCCATGGATGGGACCTGTGCAGCCTACCATGACTAGGAGGTCCATCCAATGCTGCACAACTTGGGGTTCCCAGCGTCTGAAGGGATGAAAGATTAACTATACTATCCTCTTTTTCATTCCACTGTTAGCTCCAGAAGTTGGAAAAATGTAAACAAGACCAAAACTGTGACATTGTGGTTTTAAAATCTATGGGTATTGCCAAATTTGAGATGTTTGGACACTTGCAGGATGTGCAGGCCTTCTCAGCACAGTCCGCTTCAAAACAGGCCATCTACTAAGCATATATTCCTTCCCACATCCTGAGCTCTTCTCTGGAATTTTCATAAAGTTCACATTCATGCTCCTCATACCAGTAGTCGAAAGGAATTTATTGAGGCAGAGCTTCTCCCTCCTTTCAGTGCTATGGCATGGATGCTTATCCTGCCATCACACCTGGAAGGTGAAGACATAGTTCTGGAAGCCCTTAGCCTTTGAAATATTTCAAATATTTCAGAAAATAGGATGACAAGCCTTAGGATTTTCAGATCATGATGACCCTTCTCTTTTGAGAAACCTTCCTTAAAGAACAGTTAGATCACACCTTAGAGATCAGTTACTTTGTAATAGTGTTCCTCCATAAACAGAAAGAGTAAAAACAAATTCCATGAAATAAAGCATTAGAAAACGGTAAGCACACTCACTGTCAGCAGACCATGCTTAACCTCTGCATATGGCCTCTACTTACCACAGTCGAAGTGTTCACTTTAAAAGTTAGCATCTGTTTATGCTACAGACAGGTGCCTTGAACAGCAAAAGCCAGAATATATTTTATGATAACAACCATAGATACAGAGACAGACAAGGGCTGCAATGTTGCACTATCTGGAGTGCAAATTCATTCCAAGTGAAGTCATTCAGGGGAAATTGGGAAAAAGGAAAAGAAATCAGCATTTAAAGAATATTATTGTATTATTTCTCCTCTGCAGCAACCGTGCATAACAAAAGCTAGCTGGCTGGACTTTGCTGTAGACAAAAGTGATAATGGTTACAATAAGCTTTCAAGTCAGGTAAATGGCACACAGGGTTCTCAGCATCACTGAGCACAGTAATGTGTCTAAAACGTAAATGTGCCATCATTTTCTGCAGCAAAGCAAATAGCTTTTAGGTGACAGAAGTGGTAGCAGGATTCTTGATTGATCTTATTCTACGCTCTCTCCTCCAGTCTCTTCTCTAGAACCAGTGTACAGGATGATCATCAGATAAAAACTAAAACACCTCTTAAGGATCAGTGAGTTTAACTGAAAGTGTCTGCTGAAAAATAATTTCTTTCCTATATCTTGATTTTAATGGGACACTAAATATAGAGGACGCTGTGAAAACACCAAATTAATCTTTCTAAGCTTCCTGTTTTAATAAACATGTATTTACCTGCCAGTTAAACACACTGTCACCTGCAGCTGGGAGTACCCAAAGCAATAGCTCTTTGCACTTAAAAACTCCCATTGCTGGCTGTTCTACACCTCTCCCAGGGGAGGCCTCCGCTGCATCTGCTGTGATTACAAGGTGACTGCTGGAGTGAGAGCTCATGGTAGCAGTGAGACTATTTTGAGAAATTAGTGAGCCTGCCTGGTTGAGGTGAGAGTTCAAGCTAGCAGACAGTATACTGAAAGATGCTGTCGTTCATCGCAAAAGTACATATCGGATGTAGTGCTTCCAATATGGGTTACATGGGGAACCACTGGGGGTGTTTGTTTTTTTTAAAAAAACTTATTTGTGTCTATTCAATACCAGAGAGGATCTAAAATGATCTTACAGATTATCCACTATATTATAAAAACCTCCGTATTAAAACCTCAGTAAATAGTTTTCCTTTGAATTTTTTTAGTCAGCTACCCAGGGAAAACACAAGCACTTGTTTTATGAAACCCAGGTTAAGAGCAGACTTCTTGGATTGTAGTATTTTCATCATCCATTCCAAAACAAAAACCTAAAAGAAACAGATTAAGAAATGGATTTTTTTAACCACTACGGAGAGCAGAAGACATTGTAGGAGAAACACTGAAATAACTCAGTATGAAAAAAAGAGAAAATATAAACCTCCCTACTGAATAAATGACATGCAAGCCTTCAGCATCTGTAATGAACTAATTAATTTGATCACAATAGTAAAAAATACCACTCCAAAGTTCTCACAGGGGAAAAATCCAGATATAATGTTTTACAGACGCACATATGCACACACATGCATAAAACAATGGGAGAAAGAGAGAAAAGTATGCACCAAACCTCTCCTCTCCCCCGCGCATTCCTCCCCCGCCCCCAGCTCTGTTTCCAGAGAACGCCATCCGCTTTGGGAGAAGTTCACAGACTCCTCAATGTGTGATTTGCTATCATTTCATCTGCGTTTTCAAGTCATGCACCTTAGGCAGAAAGACAGAAATGTCTATTAATTGTTTCAACAGTCTCCAGAGAACTTTCCATGTGGAAAGTGGTAAGAACTGTCTGTGTCTCTTTCCTTAAGCTGCCAATTAGGACAAGTCTCTGCAAGCAATTACGCTGGGCTGTGCAGATTTCAGGAACGCTCAAATTGAGATGCCTCAAAACGGCTATTTTATTCTCGCAGAGAATGGAAAAATTGATTCGCTCTTGCATATACTGATGATCCTTTTGTTTGCCTAAAGCCATCGTGAAACACGCCTGCATTTCCACATTGCAGGTCAATTGCTAATATGAGCTCAGTGAATTATAAAAGAGAAGAGATGAAATATCATAAAAAAGAAAAGAGACAAAGGGTTTGTTGCCTATCAGTAGGTAAATGAGGCACTCTGCCAATGTGCTTAATCATCCTGTTATTCCACAAATCAGTGGCAGTGTCAACGATCAAATAACTGTTCAGTTTGTAAAGAGAAAGGGCTCCTATGGGAACAGCAAACACTTTAGAGGGAACAAGGAGCCAAAAAATAAAAATCATTATTGTTGCATCAGATTGCGGCTAAATTATCAGAGACAAGCACAGGAGCCACAATCTGTGCATGAATACTCTTTACAGGTAATTGAATTCAGGGGGCATAACTGCCATACATCACTTTGAAGGTACCTAGTGCATCTCTATGTCCACTTTCATTAGTAGTTCCCTTTTTATTTTTGTCATAGTAATTAAGTAGAAAAATACAGTAAACCGGAAAATCGTTTTTCAGTTTGTCACAGTTGTTATTATAAAGGACCCTTTCTAGAGCTGAATGTCTCCAAGGATTAAGATTACATTAGGCTGAAACTCAACAAAAGAGTAATTAATCTAGATAAAACGTACTTATTTTTTTCAGAAAAATTGAAAAGCATTTAGGCAGTTAACTCCTTTTAGTGTTTCATGTGTTTTTTTTTATTCTCATATGAACCACCACCAAAGGAGACCAAACTAAAAGATGAAGACATTTCCAGCACAAAATGAAAAAGAAAAAAACCCACCAAAATAAACCCACAAAAAACCCCCAAGGAATACCAACAATTGTATACACTTGATCTTTTGAATGGATTCATTCTCCTGCCATTGACATCACTGTTATCGGAGTACCTCCAGAGTATTTCACCATCACATACTTCAGTTTTGACTAGAATATGCATTGTATTGGTACAGTTCAACACTGTGACTTAAAGACTATTGAGATATCGAATATTAAAGGAAATTGCTGAGACATATGAGTAATCGAAGATCAATATTCCTCTTTGTCTGATCATACTCAATGTAATACATGCATCAGGGAAAAAAGAGAATATTTTTACATTCCACTTTTACTATTACAGATTTTCTTCACTCAAATAACTCTACTGGGATCCCTGAGAAGTCACACCACCTGACAAAGAGCAAGGCTCTGAAATCTTGGTTATCTTTTTGCAGTTTCTGAAGAGAGCAAGCACTTCCCAGGGGCTTTCTGCTCCCTGACTGCAGTGTTTTGGTCTCAGAAATTACCCCACCTGGTAGGCCACCAGTAAGTTCTCTACATCTTTGCACTGGGACAAGAGAAAAGTATTAACTGGTTACTGTACTCTTGCTCCATGACTTTAGACAAGCTTAAAGAGAAAGGAAAAAATCTGGTGGGTAAAGAATAGTGACATAAATATATTACAGAAAACTAAAATGGTGTTAACAGAAGATACCTTAAATGT